AGGGTGATTCCTACGGATATTTTATTTTCGTAGAACTCGCCCTGAGCTTATACAATCATTAACTGAAGAATTGAGATTCATCAGATAATGAATATAGGAAAACCTTTATATTTTTCGTTAATCAATTCACCCCAAGCAAGGCGGTAATTCCACTAAGACGCAAGGAGGCTACTGCGAGTGAAAGATGATGGGAACACTTTACAAGTAACCAGAAACCCAATCATAAACAAGAAACAAAGGATAAACCTCAACCCCTGTTCAAAAGACCGCAGAGAAGTGTGAACCGGACGATAGACGAAACTGTCTATTACCCAATTTATAGCTCGTATGTTTGGACGTTGCTCTTGTTGACAAGCTTCAGTCAATTATATGCCATGCGTGATACACGCTTAGGCGATCATATATCTTTCTATATATGACTGACAACGCAGATTTTTTCCCGCAGTAGGTTGCCATTTCTTTCTGCGGTAGACCAGTTGCCATCCAAGGCTATAGAACCCGGTCTGATCTGCTGTTTACCCATAGCTGATGGGAGAAGAAGAGGATTTATATATTTCCCAATGGTATTAGCACGTAATGTAATGGATTCGACGGGAATTTGAACTCGGCTCTCCGATTCCTCAATCTGAGCCGTTATCCATTGCTCCTTGTTGAGAAGCTTACATCCTCGTAATTCGAATGTTCTTCTGAATTTCTGACAATATTCCTAATTCATTTCAAATGGAGAATATTTTCGCAAAGTATTCTCCATTTTAAGAAAAGTTTAATCACTGACAAGACTGTTCTCTTTTAATGAACAAAGAGTAAATTAAGTTAATGACTAATTAACAATTCGTTCAACAAACTGTCTCGAAGCTAGAAATGCTGGTTGGATTCGAATCCTACAGAGGGAAGGTGAATCATTTATTGCCTTGCCTTTTTTTTTTTTTTGCCAATGTCTAATTATTGAAATATTGTTTTGTTGGCATTATTCATGCACCCAAATTTATAAGCCTTAAACTGCATAGATTCTACAATCGTAACCATATTTTTTCACTTTTCAAGTTCAGTCCTTAATTTTCTAAAAAGGAAAAAAAAAGAAGTTATTTGCCCTTACAGTATCACCATATCACTGAGATATCGCATTAAGGACTTCCAGATCACTGCGCAGTCGCAAAACAATAATCAATTCTGATTGGTTGATATTTGTTACCGTTGTCATGAAAGCCTAGAGCTGTGATATCAGAGTCTGGAATTAAAATGAATTTTGTTTCGCATTTATTTTATAATTTTAATAACTCTAGGACATGAAAACAAAAGGAAAAATAACCCAGAAAGACGCCGATCACATCTGCAAGAAATATATATATATATATATATATATATATATATATATATATATATATATATATATATATATTAAAATTTTTATTGCATATTTCATATTTAGTTTTATGCGTTTCTTGTTTTGCGTTGTGAAATAATGTAGAAAAAACAGCTAAATAACAACTGGAAAATTCTATTAGCCCAAAGACTTGGTGATAAGAAAAAATAAAACAAAAATACACTTTTATCAACAAAGTTTAATATAATCTTGAATGAGATTTTTTTTCAGGTTTTCATTCTGAGAATGTACTTATGTACCCGTGTCTGTCTGTCTGTCTGTCTATCTGTCTATCTATCTATCTATCTATCTACATAGATTGATTCATATCTATCTATCTATCTATCTATCTATCTATCTATCTATCTATCTACATAGATTGGTTCATATCTATCTATCTATCTATCTATCTATCTATCTATCTATCTATGTAGCCATAAATTCGTACATATTTCATATATATAATCGTGTAATCGTATTAGATGGAAAAATGCACTCTCCGAGGGGATAATAAATAAAAATCTATCTATATTTATTATCCCCTTATATATATATATGTATAATGTGTATGTATATAAATATATGCAATTTTTATATATATTGTTTATATATTATATAGGCAAGGTACTTATTGGAAAGCGCTCAATACCAATGATAGAGCTAACAAACTTACATCAATCCAACTCTCTCCGTACCCCCTGCCTCTCTCTCTTTCTCTCTCTCTCTCTCTCTCTCTCTCTCTATATATATATATATATATATATATATATATATATCTTATCTTAACTTATCATAACCAATATATATATATATATATATATATATATGTGTGTGTGTGTGTGTGTGTGTGTATTAAATTATTTCATCCCATGGAAGAAGACAATAAAGACACAAGGGGGTAACTTACTGTGAAAGATTAAGAAAAAAAAAAAATATATATATATATATATATATATATATATATATATATGTTCATATTTAAAAATATGTGAAACCGAAAAAAAGAGAGAAATCATGTGGATTTTTGTTTTGGATCATAGCCCCACACATATGGACAAACGGCATGCACACATGATGGCCAAATACATTGGTCGGATCGCACACATACATACACGTATACACAGGTATCTATGGAGAACAAAAATATATATGCATACACTGTGTCATGTCTAATGGATGTCAGTTATCAGTTATCGCCTGTTAATTTTCCTCGAGAAAGTTCTCCCCCGCTTTAACCAGGTATTGAACTCACACTCTTTGGGTTCTGTCACTGGATCTATCTAACGCCTTTATCCACTGTGCCATGTGTCCTTGAGGACATTGAAATAACATAAGGAAAATTTATTCCTTTTAAAAATTGATTCCTCAAGGATATGGCACGTGGAACTAGAACAGTCTTCCCCAGCGAGCGAAATAAAGGGTTCATTTCGACATTCCAACCACCTGAAGGAGGCCGGAGCGTACAACGGCCGAAATGTTGTGATAAATATGGCAACAAAGATGAGGATGATAGTCCGAACAATATAAATATTGTACATCATGCCTCCTCTCAGAAATATAGACAGATACTGAAGTAGCCAGGATGTTAATCTCGAATAATTTTGTTTATTTTTAGGGATCCTGTAATATCATTGTTGGATGTTGTGAGTTTATTAACATATTTCTTTCGACATTCAGTGCTGTTCTTATTCAATTTAGTAAATTTAGAACGATCGTCAATGTGATACTGAGGTCGGATTGGCTAGCACCTCGTAAATTACCCCCCCCAAAAAAAAAACAAACTTATTCTGCATTTCGTTGTGATGTTGATAGTCATTTCAAAATTTTATCCGTTGTAGTTATGGAATATTTTGTGAAACAAGAGTTTCAATATAAGGGAGATAACCGGAAATTGATAGAAATGTAAAATGGCGTTAAATTTGTAATTTAATATGTTGTAGCTATATTCGTAATAAATGTTGAGTGTTGTTTTGTTGATTTTAATTGAGAGGGCCTCGAAAATTAGAAGATTTTGTTTATTACTTTCATGTGTGGTATATTGCTGTTGTCGACCTGTATTTTTTGTTGTGTGAAGGTGGACAGGAATGTGTTTTTAGATGTTGTACAATAGAACTTGTATCCGACAAATGACGTCTCGATATTGTTGTGGTTGTCAAACCAACAAACTTACTTCTTTTTTGTCAGAGATACAATCTCCCAAAGGACATTTAAACTGATATAAAGTGTTGCTTTTTTTCCCCAAACTCTAGTTGACGGAGAAGACTTGTTGTGTATGATTATATATAAGAGAGAGTGAGAAAAAATATGCATATATATTAATGTTTCTTATTCTTAACAATAATTACTTTATTTTTTCTATGGCGATAATTGTTACGAAAGTGAACATTTATTTTGAGTAAATAATTTTAAAATATTAATATTATAATATGATATATTATAACGTGTTTCGGTGTAGTAGAAATATAAAACAAACGATAAGAAAATATTTTTAAACTAATATATATATATTTTTTGATAACATTTAATAATATATTTTTTTTTATTTCACATACACTAAATCTTCCAAAACTTAATCAAAGTATTAAGAAAAGGGAAAATTTCGTTAGAGTACGCGGTGAAATCGAAATGCAGAAACATGAAAAAAAGAAAAGAAAAACAGAAAAAAAAACACACATACGCAATGACATAAATCCGTGAAGAAGACGAATTGGAGAAGCGATGACGAAGCCAGTTTCACTGTTTGACATTTTGCTTAGTCACAATTTTAAAATCAAGTGGATTTAAAACAAGGAAATATATGAAAGAAAGAATACAATAAGCCTCTACATCGATGGGGATCTTTCTAAAACTTTTTGCTGATCGACTTTATTTATTTATTATTCATATCCTTTTGATCTTCTCTGTCATAGGTCGTAATCGATGGGGCTAACATTTAATATCAGCATTCTAACAATTCCAGTTCTTCTTCTTCTTCTTCTTCTTCTTCCCACTTCTCCTCCTCCTTCTTCTTCTTCTTCTTCTTCTTCTTCTTCTTCTTCCCTTTATTATTATTATTATTATTATTATTATTATTATTCGCTACTGCTTTTTACTTCTTTATCCTCATCTTCATCATTTTCTATCTCCATCGTATACACCATCATCTTCCCATTATTATTTCCTTGGATTTCTTTTGTATAGATATTTCCTTCCTGGTCCCAATTAAAGACCTATGGTCAGAAATGGTTTCATGACATCTTCCACTGATCATTTTTTGTAAAAAAAAAAAAAAAATCAGACATTTTACAGAGATAAACCTCTTCGTAATGTGTGAGCTGTACTTGTGGGTACAATTTTTTGTATTTCTTTAAGGCATGGGTTACAAGGAACAACTTCAAGGAGCTCTTTCGGAACCTTTTCCAAACAATCTAATTTTAACTGGAATTATTAATGTATTATTATTATTATTATTATTATTATTATTATTATTATTATTATTATTATTCACCCCTGCCTTTTCCTCCTTCTTTATCCTCATCTTCTTCCTGTTTTACTTCTCAATTCTATTTACTTTCAACTTCATCTTTCCATTATTATTATTACCCAAATGAAAGTTTTTATGTTTCATAATTTTCATTTCTACAACCTTTCATCCAGGTCAAAATGACCAAACATCAGCAGATAGATAGATAGATAAATAGATAGATAGATAGATAGATAAAGAGAGGGAGGTGAAGCGACAGGGGATAGATAGATAGATAGATAGATAGATAGATAGATAGATAGATAGATAGATAGATCTTAATAGACTGAAATAGATAAAGATAGGGAGGTGAAGCGACTGGGATAGATAGATAGATAGATAGATAGATAGATAGATAGATAGATAGATAGATAGATAGATAGATAGATAGATAGAAAGAAAAAATAGAATCGGATAGATAGATAGATAGATAGAACGAAAGAAAGAAAGAAAGAAAAATAGAATCGGGTAGATAGATACATAGATAGATAGAACGAAAGAAAGTAAGAAAAATAGAATCGAATAGATAGATAGATAGATAGATAGATAGATAGATAGATAGATAGATAGATAGATAGATCTGGACAGACTAAGAAATAGGTTTGGACAGACTGGAATAGATAGATAGATAGATAGATAGATGGAGGTGAAGCGACTGGGATAGATAGAAAGATAGATAGATAGATAGATCTTAATAGAAAAATAGATAAAGATAGGGAGGTGAAGCGACTGGAATAGATAGATAGATAGATAGATAGATAGATAGATAGATAGATAGATCTGGACAGACTAAGAAATAGGTTTGGACAGACTGGGATAGATAGATAGATAGATAGATAGATAGATAGATAGATAGACAGAATTCACCAGGTAATTAAGAAAATATAAATCCAAACAGAATTAAGAGAATTGAGCATTGTACATTCCAAGCAATATGTTATCTACACAAATAGAAAAAAAAAGAAAAGAAAAAAAAAAAAACTTAATTACTCCCCGCCTCAGATACAACTGTATAGTTTCGGTCATGCGTGTCTCGTTATACTCACCATCACGTCCAAAATGGCGGCATTAATGAGTTTTGTTTTTGCTTTGTGGTTCCATTTGGTTTCTCTCTACAAAGCATTTGACATCTTTAAATGTGATCTTCTTGTTTCACTTGTGTCGATATCGTGTCCTGCAGGAATATAAAACGCCCATTGCCCTCAATGCTTCAGTCTTGACCATCGTTTCCAGGACTTCGATGGAGATCGGTAAAATTCATTACCCCCAAGGCGGTTCGATGAGAAGTAGGCTAGCATGACAGGAAGGGCTCGTTGCTCACGATTCATATGTACTTGGTGTTGACCTGCCGTGGGTGCTTGCATGGCGCCTGCGCGGGAGTCATCTGTCATTCGGCCTGTTAATTTGTCCACTTTCAAGAAACTGGCTATGGTTGGTGGCAAATGCCACCGAACCAAGGTTGCCTGTTTCATTATTATATATATATGTTAAGATTCTCACTCCATATAGTGAAATAACAACGTTAAAAGTTGGTGGTTGACGGGTTCCATTATGTTAGCTCGTCGTTTCCCATTCTTAATCTAGGAAAATATACCTTGCGCTTATATATATATATATATATATATATATATATATATAGATAGATAGATAGATAGATAGATAGATATAGATAGATATATATATAAAAAAATTTAACGCCTATTTAAAGTTTTTAAGTGTAGTTTTTTCTGTAGTTTACTGCTACCAGCAAGCAGAAATATTTCTTCTCTCGATGATGGCCATTTTGGGGCCAGAAACAAGTCGAGAATCTAAATGGAATAATAATAAAAAAAAAACGAAATATTAATCTACAACCCAGTGTGTCTAAAGATTTTAATTTTTTAATATTTTATATTGTTCAATATATATATATGTATATATATATATATATATATATATATATATATATATATATATATATATATATTTAAGTATATATATATGTGTGTGTGTGTGTATAAATATAAATATATATATATATATATATATATATATATATATATATATATATATATATATATATATATATATAATATATATATATTTTATTTATATATATATGCGCTGTACTTATTAGAAAGCTCAATGTCAGACGATCGCAAAAGCGTGAACCCAGGTCACAACTCACACTAATCCCAAATATATAATATATATATATATGTATGTATGTGTGTGTGTGTGTGTGTGTGTGTGTGTGTGTGTGTGTGTGTGTGTGTGTGTGTGTGTGTGTGTTTTGAACAATAAAAGTAAAAAAATTAAAATTTTCTGACTGGGTTGTATATTTTGTTTTATTGTTTCAGTTAGATTCCTCGACTAGTTTCGGCCAGCATGGCCATCATCAGAATTAAAATAATCCCTGCTTATTAGTAGCTGTGAATTGCAAGAGTGAATGACTGTCTCTGAAGAAGGTGAACTTTATCTGTAGTTTTCAATTGTTTATTGTTGTTAATTTTCCTTATGTTGGTGAAAACAGCCTCTTTCAAGTTGTTTTTAAGATGGAGGATGGAAGATTTCTGACTTTAAGAATTCCTCCTTGGTCATTTGACAGTTTCATTGGTTACTAGGAATGGGATATGTGTTAAGTGTATGTTATATTTTAGTTTTTAGGGAGTGTGCATGTATATATATATATTTCAGTTAGCGTGTGTATATGTTTGAGACTCAGCACCTCTGAAAAGCATGTCTGTCTTGCGTTGGTGAGAAATGTTGACAGGGCTTAATATAAAAGTTGTATATTAATTCTATCTGTGTTGTTATATTTGGTTAAACCCTTCTGGACAGAAGTGTTTTGAGGCGCAAAATCCATTTGTCTTGTTGTTCTTCCAGTATTTTCTAAGGTTATCTTTTCTGTCTATTTCTATTTTTCAATCATAGTGAATTTTGAATGGCTTTTAAAATCATGTTTTTTCAAAGGCGTAAATGTTGTTCGTTCAATTAATAATCTATCGTGGGAGCCGACTTCATATATATATATATATATATATATATATATATATATATATATATATATATATATATATATTGTGTATTGAAACAGAAATCCCTTTTTATGCATGTTTCATTAAAGTTAACTTTCAGGAGGAGAAGAGGAAGCACACAAAGCTTAAAAGAGATATACGTAATGTCGTTCCCTTTGAACTTCCTAAAGACACCCGCAGGCAAATGTTCAAATGTTCTGTAATTCCGAGCGCTTTCGGCTATATTTTCAGCCATTATCAAGGATGATTTTATTTTTAATTCTACCTGAATGTATGGGTTGTGTGTATATGTCTAGAGTTATAGGGATGTTTTATTTTCCGAACACGGTCAGCACATTGTGGCCGTGTTCGTAGTTAATATTATTGAGTGTTAACTTTTTTACATTTTTTTTTTTATTAATGCTTTCATTATTTTTATTTTTTTTACTTATTGATGAGTATATTATGCTTGTATTTTCTATTAGTATGTTTTGGATGGAGTCTGGTAAACTTGTGTGTGTGTGTTTAAATGGGTTCATATGAAGCTGTAGTCAGATAGATGTAAAGGAAGTCGTCTAGGTAGTCATATAGTTGTGTGACAGATGTAATTATTCATGAGTTCAGTTTGATCAGGTACCCATTTCCTTAAGGAGCATTTCATAAATAATGTTCATTTTCGTAGTTTTGATTTTTGCAGATGTGTTGCTATTTTGAGGATATAGTTAGCTGTTTAAATCTTTTTAGCAGAAATTATTATTTTTTTTTTGTTCAGGTCATCTTCGGTAGTGTATTTCTTTATGATATTTCTAAGGGGAAGATTCATTTTTGTATATATGAAGAAATTGTGTAACTACCGACATCGAGGTTCGAACGTGACACTCTGGACTTAGGATTGTTTTCCGCCAGGAGTATCAATAGCGATGTCAGGCTACTGACTAGAGTGATTATTGAGTGACTATTGGGTGGAAATATCCAGTCGAATTAGTGTGAATTAATGTGCGTCGATGATTTGGGCTTTGATTTGGGATTTAACGGGCGTTAATCCGAGCCGCGCCACTAACAAGGTATTCACTGAAATGGTTAATTTTCGTTTGTTGACTTATAAGTCTTTGTTCTTGTTAAGTTTTTATTTGCGGTTTTCATTACATATTGTTTTATTTTAACATTGAAGTCTTGAGTTATACTTTAATTATTAACAGCCACTACACGTCACAAAAAATTGTTTATAGTTGACGTTGGCTTTTGTAGAAAAATATGTTACTTTTGTCTGTATCGTTATCATTTACTTTGAGTGAAATTCTCTAATCTGCTGGACCATGTACCAATTGGACAAGTATGGGCCGAGCGGATTTCCCATACTAACACCATTAGTTTGGGTGAAGATGTTGCCATTATGGTCGTAGAAGGGACTTTTGAAGATATTTGGTTTTTATGATGGAGGTAGGACAGAATTAAATATATACAATAGAGTTAAGGATAATGATAATAGTTTGATCGACGTGGACGTCTGCGAATAAATTTTCAAAAATTTACAAAAACCAACTCAAGGCATATTAGCATCAATCGACGTTGAAAATCATCCTGATAATGGCTAAAAGTATAGCCGATAGTGCTCAGACTATTACAAAACATTTAAACAGTTTCAACTCTAATCTGTTAAAAAAAAAACACTTGTTCGAAAACAAGAAAAATGAAACAAAAAGTTTAATCGATGACATTCTATCGTCTTTTAAAGACAACAAATAACGCTAAGAAATGGTATAGAATATATAAACGTAAGCAGAACTTTAGAAATAAGTGAGCAAGCAAAATCACCAATGGATTAATATGCAAAATCGAATAACTGCAGAACACATTGTAGAAGCTCCTTGTTGAAAAGAATTAACCAGACCTGTACAAATACCCTATGAGTCTAAAGTCTAAAGAGTTTATAAACACATCAATGAAAGAAAAAAAACTTTATAGGGATGGAATGGACGCATGCCAGATTTATTCTATGGAGAACCGTTGTTGTAAAACCTAAAAAGGCATTATACAAATATCTCACATGAGATCCACCCCCAAAAAAAAAAAGTGGTTTGACTAGACGAAATTATAATATCCTTTTACTTTTTAAATGCCATGAACCTTCATAACAACAATATCATTAGCTCTACAGATAATTTTTTTTATTATTCTAGAATTGCCATTCATTTTTATAGATAACATTTTTACCACAGTCTGTAATTTAAAATTTATTTCTCTAAATCGTGTGTGCCGCTAACGGCTACGGAACCCAGTCCAGTATTTTATTTAATCCATAGCTAATGGGAGAAAAAATTAGATTCATGCATTACCAGGGGCAATAAGGAAGAAGTGAACGCAACAAATTAACCTGAAACGTCGACTAACGTTTTCCTTTTCGACGTTATTATCCGTTAAACCACCCGTACATTTCTGAAGTTATAAAATAGACATACGAGAACGGCGAAATGTTGAGGACGTCATTAGTCAATAGCGCTTCCAATGAATCAATTAGTCTATGAATGCGAATATCCTAAAAAAGAAAAAAAAAGTATAAAGTTAGTATCAAAATTACTCGATTTAAAAACGGCAAATAAAATGACTATTTATTCAAGACACTGGAATAAGAAATATCAGATACATCAGTAAATTCTCTCAGAAAGGAAAATTGCAGCAAGTTTTCGATTGACTGGTTGTTTTTTTATTTTTTTTTATTTTCGGTTTATCGAAAGGTTAATGTCTGAAAACATCTTTGGATTTAAATATTTTTGTAGATAATAATAATATATATGAGAGAAGTCCTACTATTTAACCAATAGCTGAAAGAGAATAGGTCGATTTATGCCTTTCCCAATGCTATTTCCGCGTAAAATTTAAAGAACCTAACTAGAATTGGAAGAATGCACCCGATTTTTAATTCTGACTGCCCTCTAAGATCACCGGTTCATCCATATTTACAGTACCTATTATTCCCAAGCAGTTACCCATCTAGATATTGACCAGGCTCGTCGTTTCACGCCTTTGGTGATCAGGCGAGAACAAAATTTCTTGCTTTTGATCGATTACAAAAAGCGATGAATGAATAAGAGGAGAAATGAAGAAAATGTATGAAGAGAGTAGAGATGGAATGAAGAAAGAATAGGCCAATGATTGAAAGAAGACAAGAAGAAATAGAATTGAAAAAAAAAAGAACATGTGAATAAAAGTAAAATAACAGAACAAAACACAATGAATCAAAATTAGAAAAAGAAATGAAAGTAAATTTATGATATACAAATAAAACTCAATTAAAACTTTCTGAGAAAAATAGTTAACTCGCGTAAATGACACATTAAATTACAAAGAATTGTTTCCCATCCTGAATAGTAAGAAAAGGCTTCTAAATATTTTGCGGACTTCTTGTTGGAATAGATATTTGCACCATTTTCTCATGTTTGAATTATATAAAAAACAAAAAAATATTGAATGCTGTTTTTTATGGTGAGCTATATTTAAATTTATACAATGGAGTTTTCATAATTTTGTTTTAATAAGTATAAATATTGCTTAATTAATCTGGAAATATTGAATATCAAGTTCTTCACAACCTCCCATCTTTTGAAGAGGAATAGAAACTTATCTCTTGTTTATATGTTTAAATTGGGACTCTGTTAGTTCCTTTCATCTTCCAGTAGCCCCTAGTGACTTAGTGTCGTTAATCAGCCTTGCTGGTGAAGAATATCAAAAATATTTGTAAAACTTTATAAGTATTTTAAAAGAACGAAATTTGAAGCTTTCAGAGTAAGGAAACAGGAATGTGAGGAAACGAAACAGAAGATATACATCTATTTTTTTTTAATGTTCAGAGAATGTTGAGTAAAATTCCTAAATATTAAGGATATCAACATATTCAAATTTATTGAGATTACTTCTCTGTTTTTTTTTTTTAGTTTAGAACAATCGTATAGATTGTTCATCGACTGTTATATCCAGTACCCACTCCATCGATTGTGTTGATGTAACGTAGCGAAAAGCTGATTACAGTGGTTTCAAATTTGCAATTAATCTGCGAAAAGATTTCTGCGATAAAGATGTTCGTGTGAAATATGTGTTTTATCAGCTGCTGAATATTAAATATTAAAATACTTTGAGAATGTTTCCTTTCTCATCTATTTAGGTAAATCAATTGAGTCTTTCAATCAGTTCGCAGCTATCTATCCCTATCTATCTATCTATCTATCTATCTATCTATCTTATAGGACCATTGCCCTCTAGATATATCAAAGGCCTTTGGAAAGGTGTGAAATATAATGGGACTGTTCTTGGTATGCAATCTCTGAAAATGTTCTCACAATCATCAAGTCAAGTAGACCCCCATGAAGTTCGTTAAGAAGCCGTCGTCAGAAGCAAATAAAATCAATGCCGACATTCCACAGGGTTTTCTCCTCGCTTTTACACTCTGTATACTGCATATGAATAATCTCCCAATAATATACACCGATATTATATATATCTATTCGGATGGCACAATAGTTTAGAGACGCATCTCCTAAATTCTGGTACAGAGAACCTATGTAATATCTCTAATCTGACCTAGCTCAGGTAGTTCAATTTATTCCATTCTGTGTTATAAAATTCAATCAGTCAAAAAGCAAACTAATAACGTTTATTATATACCGAGCGAAACATATAGATCTATATATAACCCATATATCCGATCTGTTGTTAAAGATGCTGGGAAAAGGGTTGGTTTCATTGTAATGACCCAGTAAGTATCCGATGCCCCTGTGTTCTATAATTTTCAAGAGCCAGATTAGACCAAAAATGAAATATTTCGCTATTTCAGGGATGTAGCTGTCCACTTTTTACTTGCCTCTTTGTTCAAAAGCTTTCGGGTGATAATTATTTTGACAACCCCTTTTCACAGATAAGACTTTGCAGAGACACTTTAAGATGCTTTATCGCTATTTCCAGGACATATGTTCTTGAACTAAATTCCTTAGTCTCACCATTCCCGACCTTTAAAGCTGTGACCCGTCATTCCACGTTGGGACATGAGTGAATGATAACCATTCTCTTCGTATTCCAATAGTATGAAAATAACTTCCTTTGTTTGTTTTCCCAGTCACTACAATTTTGAACACTTCAAGACCAAGGGAAACTGTTATATATCCTGCATAAGCCCATTAACTTTACTTAAGTGACAGGCTACACCATATAGTATCTAATTTGAGTCCGTCTTGGGCCTTGTATTGAAGTGAATATACACGTGAATGTGTATGCGTTTGTATGTTGCAAGGCTCAAATTTACGCACAACATATGTCGCTATATAATTTCATCGTATCTATCTATCTATCTATCTATATATATATATATATTGTCACGTAGCAACGATTTCATTAACCATATAGGCGTTAGGCTAAAGTAAAATCTTAAATAAAGAGAAATTAGTTAGATATAAAAGAAAGATAAATAAATAGATAAAAACAGAAATTTAATCCAATGCTTCCGATTCATGAGCGAATATATTCTATGATCAGCCATACCCCCCTCTTCTCTTCACAAATTCTTTCTCTCCTTATCCTCTCTTCCACCCGCCAGCCAAGGGCCCGTGAACTTAAAGTGACCCGACGCGAGGATGACCTGGTTCTAAGATTTCGCGTTTGACCATGAGTAAACTCCAGACACCATCAGGGTCTCATGCTGCGATTCACGTGATCAGGACGTACGGAGCATGCGTTGAACTTTTGGCCATCACACAAACACTGCGTGATTTGCGCCCTATTCTCCTGCGTACCCGGTCAAGGACGAAGGGAACCCACGTGACTGTCTGTGGGGACAACGAAAACAAAGAAGGATTTTTCAGTTTCCTCTGACCAGCGGCAGTTGAACATCGCTGGGCAAAAATCGTCAGACCGCCCACTGAGATGAGGAAGACCACGGTCTATCGACCAGTGATTGAAGGGCTGCTATTGACTGATCAACCCAACCAAATGCCTGTATGAAATGCTGGGGACCCACGAACACTTGCGAAAAGAAGAAGAATCCAGGAACATTGTCGGCCGGCCAAGATACTGATTTATCATCAGAACTCTCGCTTCGGCGAATCAAAACTTTGTGAAGATACCAGCCCGACTGCAAGATAAGTTGGTTCTTTTGGCTCGATCTATTTTCATATATGTATGTATTCGCTCGCGCCTTCTATTCTTTACTGATGTCCCCCCTTTGTTAAATGAATGTTCTTTTTTTCTTTCTTTGTTTCGTTATATATATATTTATAAATAAATGTTTAATTTTGAAATCCATCGTCTTGCGTCTGTCCTTCGTTGATTCCTTGTGTCGCTTCCATTTCTGAGTGAAGACCGAGAAAAGAAACCACGTTTTCCTTTTTTTAGAACCGTGGTTCATCTATATGCTACAAGTTCGTAACATATAAAATTGGGGGCTCGTTCCGAGAATCTTTTCTCCTGTTTTTTCACTCAGTAAGAATCGCACAACTTCAGGGTATCGGCGAACTACAGGCCAAGATGTCGGTTATAGATAGTTTTCTCGCATCGCCCTCTATGGAAAAATTATGTAAGCTTAAGAAGGATGATATAGTTGAAATAGGGAAGGAATTAGAACTAGAGGTAACGAAGTCTATGAGAAAAACTCAGCTAGTCAGGATAGTCTGTGAGCATATGGTAGATAACGACGTTTTCGACGTAGAAGAATTAAGTAAATTATCACTAGACACGTCGGAACTTTCGCAGGCACAACTCGAGCTCGAGAAAGTGAAAATTGAGGCCGAGGCTAAGGTCA